ATAGGGAACAAATTATACATAAATGTTTTCTATATTTAAAATTATTTTTGTGAGACAAGATTTATTTATTGTACAAACAGTTCCAGCAGTTCAGAATTGTAAACAGTAAAGGTGTTTCCCTCAACATCTTCTTGTCTTTCTCCTTGGTGGTAACCACTGTTAACAGTTTAGTGTGTTTTTTTTTTTTTTTTGTAGAGACCGTCTTGCTTTGTTACCTAAACTGGGGGCAGTGGCGTGATCATAGATCACTGCAGCCTCATACACCTGGGCTCAATCAATCCCCCTGCCTCACCCTCCCAAGTAGTAGGACTATCAGCACGTGCCATTATGCCTGGCTAATTTCTGTATCTTTTGTAGAGACAGGGTTTCACCATGTTGCCCAGGATGGTCTGGATCTCCTGGGCTCCAGCGATCCTCCTGCCTCAGCCTCCCAAAGTGTTGGGATTATAGGCATGAGCCACTGTTTCTGGACTAGTTTCTGTTTAATTTTTGAGTAGCATTAATTAATTGTATGGCTCTCCATAATTTCTTCATTCATTCATCTTTTGGTAGACATTCGTGTTGTTTCCATTTTGGGGGCTATTATGAGTACAGCTGCTATGAACATTTGTGTGCAAGACTTTGTGTGGATATGTTTTCACTTCTTTTGACTAAAAACCTAGGGGTGCACTTGTTGGGTCACATTCACTTTGTAGAAACTGCATTGCATCTTTGCCAACATTGAATGTTGTCAGCCTTTAATATTTTTCTTTGCATGCTTTCTCCCCAAAAAGACCAAAATGGGAATTGGTTTTCTCTTCAATATAAACTTGTAAAGGAATTTTTAAGTTCTAAGGGATGCCAGGCAGGAGATTTATCTATGTGAACAATTATTGGTTTGAGATAGAGAATGTCAAGGATATCCCTAAATGCTTTTCAGGAGATGATGATAGGACATACACATTTATTTCTACCCCATCACTTCTAGTCCCACGTGACTTCAGAATTTCAACATAAATTATTACTATGAGAATATGCAGCACAGAGGGATTCCCTAGGCCTGAAGATGAGTAGTACTACTGGCCTTTCTTGCAGTATTCTAGGCCAGCACTATCCAATGAAACTTTCTGCAGTGATAGCCACTAGCCGCATATGGCTCTTGAAATGTAGGGCTAGTGGAACTGAAGAACTAAATTTAATTAATTTTAATAGTGAAATACATATAGTTATTATGTTACTGAACAGTGGAGTTCCGAAATGTTATTTTTCAGGAAAGATCCTCTAACAAGGAATAGTTTGACACGTTAGCTGAGCTGGCCCTGGGGCAAGTTTGTGCTTTCTGTCCTTCCCTTTCCTCTGGGAGAGATGAAACCAATACCTAGAGCACCACAGAGGAAGAACCAGTGGATTCCTAAGGGTGACAGTTCAGGTAGGGGCAGCTGTTTGGTAATGAGCTCTTCTGGTCAGATGCCACACTCTTTATTTTTCTGTTTATTTTGCCTTATTAAATTATTTAGTAAATAGTAAAGCCTACTTTAATCCAGGTTTGAAAGTGGACCTTTGGACGAAAGTATGTACTATGTTGTCCAGAAGAGTCTTGATAAAATCCCCCTAGTTTCTTTGATGAAGAGAAGCAAATAATCTTTCTGCACAGTAAAGGCTTTCAAGTGGGTAATGATGTAATTCGCTAAAGTTTCCATTAAAGATTTGTCGAAGTTTTCATTCTTTTATATTAGCAATGAGTTTATAAGTTTTGACATTTTAAGTTGTCATAATAAGGACATTTCTATAGACTTCAGATCGTTAAATGTTCTAGTAACACAACTAAACATATAAAATGGCCTATCAAGTTTTGTTTTGAGACAGAGTCTTGCTCTGTCGCCCGGGCTGGAGTGCAGTGGCGTGATCTTGGCTCACTGCAGCCTTCACCTCCCAGGTTCAAGTAATTCTCCTGCCTTACCCTCCCGAGTAGCTGGGACTACAGGTGCACACCGCCATGCCTGACTAATTTTTTGTATTTTAATAGAGGCGGGGTTTCACCGTGTTGCCCAGACTAGTCTTGAACTCCTGAGCTCAGGTAATCCACCTGCCTCAGCCTCCCAGAGTGCTGAGATTATAGGTGTGAGCCACCATGCCTGGCCTGTACTTTCATTTCTTACTAGCTGCATGGCTATAGTTGTTGGCTTTCGTTATGTTTCCTAGGGGCAAGGTCAATGTTAGAAAAATTGTGGAATTTTCCCTTGGCATTGCTGTGGTGAGTAGACAGCTTCTATTTATAGGGACTTATACTTTGTTTAAAAAATGAGATATCCTTCTTGGCTTACCATAAAAACACAGATGCTTCTGGATTCCAGTAGGGAGACCTTTTGTTCACAGCATCTGTTTTGGTTAGCCAGCCCGATGACTTCTGCAGATTTTCTCACTCCTTTTGAAGGACACTTGACAAATAAACAAGTTTATAAGTGAAAAATTAACTTATCATTTTGCATATTTCTTTTGCTTTAGCTATATAGTTCTGTGAACTATTTTGAGCTATTAGGTCATTTTACCTCAATGTTATCACTTTCTAAATAACCTTGAGATGATCAGTCCTTTGTCACATGTTCTTTGGAATGTTGAGACAGATTTGTATTGATTTATAAATTTTTGTGTTCAACAAACGTTTAATGAATACTCACTGTGTACTAGGCCTTGTACTAACTCTGGGAATGACAGATGTGAGCAAGATACAGTCTCAGTCTTTGAGAAGTTTAGTATCTTATATGCAGTGCAAACATGTAGACAGACAATAAAAATATAGTTGAGTGCTTCCCTCTGAAGTTTATTTAATCAGTTTAGTGGGAAGGGGCAGGTGTCTAGGAATGCCTTCTAGAAAAGGTAATGTCTAAGTGGAGAATTGTAGAATGAGTGGGAGTTGTCCAGGGACAGAGCAGGGTTTAGTGGGAGAGGTTATATAAAAGAAAGAAGCTTGCAGGTGAAAAAGACCCTGGGAAACTGGGAAACTGAAAAAGTTCAGTATGTTTCTGTCAGATGGCTGATCAAGCTGTGACCTTGGGCAAAATGCTTTCAACATTTATTGAACACATAAATGTGGTCTCATTCACAAAGCAGGCTTGTGGCCTAGACTTTATCCATCTCATGCTAAATGAGTAATTTCCAAACATTTGATCATGAATTTCATAAGTAAAAAATGTTTTGATTATGTACCCTCATATATTGATTATATGCCAATATTTATTTATAAATGATATATAGTACTCAAAGTTATATACACAGTAGAACATGTATAGAAAAAAAATAAAAGGATGAGCTAAAGTTGACATGTACAATGTTCTCATAGTATTAATTTTACTGAAAATACAGAAGCTAGGCCAGGTGCAGTGGCTTACGCCTGTAATCCTAGCATTTTGGGAGGCCAAGGAGGGCAGATCACTTGATGTCAGGAGTTTGAAACAAGGCTGACCAACATAGTGAAACCCTGTCTGTGCTAAAATATACAAAAATTAGCTGGGCATGGTGGCATACACCTGTAATCCCAGCTACTTGGGAGGCTAAAGCAGGAGAATTGCTTGAACCCAGGTGATGGAGGTTATAATGATCCAAGATTGTGCCACTGTACTCCAGCCTGGGCAACAGAGCAAGACTCCATCTCAAAAAAAAAAAAACAAAATGAAACAGAAAGTAAAGTAGTAAAGTGGCACATCATTATTCTTTCAAAGCTTGGTTTAGTATTATGTAATACAGCTGACCAGAGGGCTGTTTCTAAATTCAATTTATTTTGATACTTGAAGCAAGGAATCAAAGCCTGGATCAAAATCGGGGAATTTAGCTGTACTTTCTAAATCAGATTCTTTTTTCCCCAAACTTATTCACCATTTATGGAAATGCTTTATTGAAATGTGGCTGGTAAATTTCCATCTATTAGTTGTTCTTACAGATTAATAAAAATATACTTCTATTGTGCTAATAAATGGGTTCCAAAAAAATCACTGTAAGCCTTCGTTTGGAAGATGTTTTAAAAAGTTATAGAATATTCTATTTCTGACCTTATAAAGCATGAAGATATGAGTTTTTGGGTTCTTTGTTTATTTTTTAGGTAATATATATTGTTTTCAACAGCAGAATCACTTAGCAATGGAAATGTTTCCAAATATCCAATTTTGAAATGCTCTATTAGGGAAGATTTTTCTTTTTGTTTTTTTCTGGAAAAGCTGGAAAGAATTCTAACATGTTGCTAAACATTTTTATTTTATAGGAGCAGAGTGAGTTTTTTGTTTTGTTTTGTTTTTTAATACTTAGAACCTCTTCAGAAATAATTAGAAGATGGTTTTTCTCAATCTATAGGAGATACAGTTCATAGCCACCTGAGATCTCTTATAAAAATATACTTTTTCATAATATATTTTTCATAATATACATAAAATTTCATAGTATACTTTTAATAATATACATACAATTTAATACATAAATTTATCAAATTTATTTTATTGCATTTTTATTAGTCAAGATTCTTTTCTTTGGAAGACATGGAAAACTAATTCAAAAAGGCTTGAGCAAAAAAAATTCATCGGCTCATACTAATGTTCAGGACTTGTCTCAAGGACTGTACCTTGGTTGCCAGGTCTGTGTTTCCAGGTTATTTATTAGCTTCTCTGTGTCTCTGTGACAGTTTTATTCTTTTGGAATGGAAAGTCTTCTTCCATGTGGTGCTGTGGCTTGCAGAAGAATGTCTTTCGTCTAGCGCCAGTGTACATAAAATCCTGTGGGTGGGATAGCGTATACGTGGTTGCATGTGTGCTGTGAATGGCAGTCTCACAAAACCACATGGAATGGGGAAGGAACAGTTTCCCAAAGGAAGGGTTTGCTTTTACTGCAGAGAAAGGGATGCTGGGAGTCAAAAACAGTAGATGTTCATTATAGCAATGAGAGTGATAAAGAAGAGAGGATAGAAAGGCATAAAGTATTCTTTAAGGGAATAGAACATGACTTAATTTAATTTTCCTAATCATTGATTCTCACAGAGCATGCAAGCGGCAAGATGTCCGACAGATGAATTATCTTTAACTAATTGTGCAGTTGTGAATGAAAAGGATTTCCAGTCTGGCCAGTGAGTATCTGACTTTGTTTTCTTTTAACCTGCTAAGTGGCACTTGAGAAACTTCCAGACAGTCATTTTTAGGGAAGATTGGAAATTTTTTTTTTAATTCTTCTTGCTGAGTTTGAAAATGGAGAACATGAAAAAAGTTATGTATTTGAATCATTACTGTGTCAAACTTTGATAAATACTATATGATGTTTTAAAAAAATCACATACAGTTTTTTATATAGAAAACTTTAGTTTTTATCAGTTTTCTTAGTAGAGCTAAACATACTGGTTATATGAATTGTATAGCAGAGTTGTTAGGTGTTTGGCTCTGGCCAACTCAGATTGTTTGAGTTTTCCTGGCTCTACCAATTGCAAACTGAGTGACCATTTCTGTGCCTCTTTGTCCTGATCTGTAAAATGGAGATAATATCTTCAAGGTAGCTGTGAAGATTAAGTTACATAAATAAAGCACTTAGAACAGTGCCCAACATGTTAATAAGCCCTTAGTAAATATTAGCTGCTATGATCATGATTACGATAATAATCCAAGAGACATGAAAACTGGAAGATGGGCTGGGTATGGTGGCTCACACCTTAATCCTGGCACCTTAGGAGGCCAAGGTGGGCTGGTTGCCTAAACTCAGGAATTCTAGACCAGCGTGGCCAACTTGGTGAAACCCCATCTCTACTAAAAATACAAAAAATTAGCTGGGCGTGGTGGTGGACACCTGTAGGCCCAGCTTCTCAGGAGGCTGAGGCAAGAGAATCACTTGAACCCAGGAGGTGGAGCTGTAGTGAGCTGAGATTGCGCCATTGCACTCCAGCCTGCCAATAAAGTGAGACTGTCTCAAAAGAAAAAAGAAAATTGGGGTAGGGCGTGGTGGCTCATGCCTGTAATCCCAGCACTTTCGGATGCCAAGGGGGGCAGATCACAAGGTCAAGAGATAGAGACCATCCTGGCCAACATGGTGAAACCCCGTCTCTACTAAAAGTACAAAAAAATTAGCCAGATATGGTGGTGTGTGCCTGCAGTCCCATTTATTTGGGAGGCTGAGGCAGGAGAATCACTTGAACTTGGGAGGTGGAGGTTACGGTGAGTCAAGAGTGCGTCACTGCATTCCAGCCTGACAACAGAGTAAGACTCCATCTCAAAAGGAAAAAAAAATTGGAAGATGCAAAGCAAATGTAGAATCCTTAAAAGCATTTTGCATTGTAATTTATTTTAACTGATTCATATTACCCGCTGCCAGGTATTCTAAAGACCCTGCTACAAGTTCAGTGCCATCCATATGCTTCTGAGACTGGTATAAATAAGGAGATGAGGGGCTGTAGGGAAATAAGATGCAAAGTGGTAAGGTTTTAACTGAGCATTTTTTTTTAATGTTGTCTGTGAAATACATGAGTTTCACAGAGTTAGAATTGCTAATCATTGGTTTTCAGCTTCAGAGTAAGAGACTGTGCTATATGATAATATTAACATTGTTTCCAGTGCTAAACATTCTGTGATGTGAAATTGAGCCCAGGACTTTCAACAGATAAACTGAAGTGTAAGTAATCAATGTGAGAATTTGTGAAATTCTTTTACATATCTTAAATTTTCACTGTGCTAGCACTTTGGGAGGCCGAGGCGGGTGGATCATGAGGTCAAGAGATCGAGACCATCCTGGTCAACATGGTGAAACCTCGTCTCTACTAAAAATACAAAAAATTAGCTGGGCACGGTGGTGCGTGCCTGTAGTCCCAGCTACTCAGGAGGCTGAGGCAGGAGAATTGCCTGTACCCAGGAGGCAGAGGTTGCGGTGAGCCGAGATCGCGCCATTGCACTCCAGCCTGGATAACCAGAGCAAAACTCCATCTCAATTAAAAAAAAAAAAAAATCACTGTGCTGATGGTGGAGTTACTCAAAATATAGTTGTGTTCTAGTAGCAAAAGCAAAACCCAAATGTATAGAAAATATTAGCCATTGATGTGAAAAATTACAGCATTCTAAAATATAATTTTTTTTTTTGAGACGGAGTTTCGCTCTTGTTACCCAGGCTGGAGTGCAATGGCATGATCTCAGCTCACCGCATCCTCCGCCTCCTGGGTTCAGGCAATTCTCCTGCCTCAGCCTCCTGAGTAGCTGGGATTACAGGCACGCACCACTGTGCCCAGCTAATTTTTTGTATTTTTAGTAGAGATGATGTTTCACCATGTTGACCAGGATGGTCTTGATCTCTTGACCTCGTGATCTACCCACCTCAGCCTCCCAAAGTGCTGGGATTACAGGCGTGAGCTACCACGCCCGGCCCTCTAAAATATAATTTTTAAAAAGTTAGTGAGCTAGGCATGGTGGTGTGTGTCTCTGTAGTCCCAACTACTTGGGAGACTCAGGCCAGAAGTTTGAGGCCAGCCTGGGCAACATAGAGAGACCTCATCTATTAAAAAAAAAAAAAAAAAAAGATAGTGCCTACTCATAACAATTTGAAACTTCTATCTTACACATAGTACTTTTTAGTTACTTGGTGTAGGAGATTATCATGAGAAGACTATGTTTTATTTATTTACAGGTAATTTCTGAGCAGGGAATTAGCACAAAATTTTTAAAAATAGTAAATATTAATGTCTACATGAAAACTGATGTATTTTGGGAATTAAAAAAAATTTTTTTTTTTGTAGATTGTTTCAGCCTTTTGAGAGAGTCTGCAAAGAAATTTAATGAATAGTCTAAAAATTAACTTTTTTTGACTGCTATATTCTAGCTCTTTTATCTTTGGCTCTTTTTTTTTATTAGGATGTGAAGGTAATTATCAGGAGAGGAAATTCATCTAGTTTTTACTTGATATCAAGGACTCCAGATCACTGGCTTCAGTTTTATGTAAACTGGAAATGTAATGAAGTTGGTATTTTGGATGGTATTTTGGCTGGATTCTACTTGATGTGTGTTTGACCCAAGGTGCTCCTTGTATCTGGAAAACATTTGGAATTGCTGACAGTTTTGGAAACTAAATTTGTGGTTCTGTTTCTTCAAACACAGATGATGTTTCCGCCTGATACTCATTAAATATCAGTTTGAAAAGAAATACATTTTGAAATTATGTTCTTAATTTCCTTCAATGTGGAATACTAACTGTGTTTCTGTCCTTCAGGCATGTGATTGTGAGGACCTCCCCCAATCACAGGTACACATTTACACTGAAGACACATCCATCAGTTGTTCCAGGGAGCATTGCATTCAGTTTACCTCAGGTAACTCAGATGTCAATTTGTTCTCTTTTGTTTTTGAAAGTCATAGAATAGTCCATTCATTTTAAGCAAGCATCACCCTATGACCATATTGATTAATACCGAAGAAGAACATGTAAGTATTACATAAGGAATATAAAGATATATTCTATGTTTTTTGTTGTTGTTCTTGTTGTTGTTGTCTTAAGACAGGGTCTCGTTCTGTCACCCAGGCTGGAGTGCAGTGGCACAATCACGGCTCCTGGTCTCAAGCAATTCTCATACAGCTGAGAGTACAAGCTTGTGCCACGGTGCCTAATTTTAAAATTTTTTGTAGAGGTGGGGTCTTAACTATGTTGCCCAGGCTGGTCTTTAACTCTTGGGCTCAAGCAATCCTCCCACCTTGGCCTCCCAAAGTGCTGGGATTATAGGGTGTGAGCCATCATGCCCAATCTAAAGACAGATTCTTAATTGCCAGTTTTTACTATGGCTGCTTTCTTTTGTCTTGATTTTTTTTTTTTTTTAATTTTTAAAGATTTTGCAGTAAAATCAGTCAGCTATCACATAAAGAGTCAAGTTATTTTAATGGTAACTCCCAGGGTAACAGAAAATACAAAAAAATAGTTTATTTGTAAAATTGGTATCTACTAATAGTGATTTTACAATGTTATAGTGTTACACTAAAGAGTTTGGAAAGAATCTCAAATTACAACATATGTTGCTAGGCTCCCATAACAACTGAATGGGCTGTGATTACAGTTACCACTATTGGTGGATTCCATGGAATCCAGAGAATTAGATTGCTTAGCGCAGTCCCAGGCACATCATACATAATAGAATGTACCACAAATACTAGTCTGTATCCTCTTCTCCCTTATCATTTTACTCAGGCTGCTGACTGACCCCAATCCTAAGCAATGTAAATGCAATCCCTACCTCCTCCTAGTATACTAATAAGCATTGGTTGACTGCTTGAAAGTTTAGAGAAAGAGATCAAACACTCATTTAAGAACTATTAGGCCAGGTGTGATGACTCATGCAGGTAATTTCAGCACTTTGGGAGGCCAAAGCTGTTGGATCACTTGAGTCCAGGAGTTCAAGACCAGATACAAGGTGAAACCCCACCTCTACTAAAAATTCAAAAATTAGCTGGGTGTGGTGGTGCATGCCTATAGTCTAACTTCTTGCAGGGGCTGAGGCAAGAGGATCACTTGAACCTGGGAAGTCAAGGCTGCAGTGACCTGAGATAGTGCCACTGCACTCTAGCCTGGATGACAAAGTGAGACCCTGTTTCAAAAAAAAAAAAAGAAGAAGAAGAAAGAACTGTTAGACAGGCCAGGTGCTTCACGCTTGTAATTCTAGTGCTTTTGGAATCTGAGGAGGATCGCTTGAGACCAAGAATTTCATACCAGCATAGCAAGACCCTTGTCCCTACCACTAGTCTCTACAGAAAAATTTTTTTTTAATTAGCTGGGCATGGTGGCACATGCCTGTAGTCCAGGCTACTTGGGAGGCTGAGTTTGGGAGGATCACTTGAGCTTAGGAAGTTGAGGCTGTAGTGAGCTATAATTGTTCTGTTACACTCCAGCCAGGGCTACAGAGTGAGATTCTATTTCTTAAAAAGGGAAAAAAAAAAAAAAAAAGAAATAAAAGGAACTAGCAAAAATTTCTTGAGACCCTCACATATTACAGAAAATTTTCACTCACTATTCCACCTCTCTGTTTGATGCTTCTTCATTATCCAGACCACTTTCACATTTGTTTCTATGGATTAAAAGTTTGGGATATTCCAGGGTTCACCAGCTTTTAGAGTTCTATTTGGGATTCTGAATGTTAGAAATAGCTTGAGATGTGACCATTTCTCCTTGTCTCTGTTTTGTAAAAGTAAATTTCCTGTAAAAAAAATTTCCCCCAATATTCTCTACAGACCAAGCTCTACTCTAGGTACTTTGGCATGTGTTAGCTCATTTAATTCTCCAAACAACCTTATACACTAGCTACTGCTGTTATCCCTAAGGACTGTTGTATTCGTCCATTTTCATACTGCTATGAAGAAATACCTGAGGCTGGGTAAATTATAAAGAAAAAAGGGATTTCATGGACTCACAGTTCCACATGGCTGGGGAGGCCTCACAATTATGGCAGAAGGCGAAGGAGGAGCAAAGGCATGTCTTACATGGCAGCAGACACGAGAGCATATACAGGGGAACTGCCCTTTATGAAACCATCAGATCTCGTGAGACTTATTCACTATCATGAAAACAGCATGGGAAAACCCATGACCGTGATTCAATTACCTCCCACTGGGTCCCTCCCATGACACTTGGGGATTATGGGAACTATAATTCAAGATGAGATTTGGATGGGGACACAGCCAAACCATATCAGCCATCTCTGGGACTGAAGCACAGAACCTGAATGTGGCTTCTTTGTGACCCTAAGTCTAAGCTTAATGAGCATGCCGCTAAATTTCAGGTTGGCCAGAAGTGGGGGGTTTTACAGAAGATGTCTTCTGGGGGAGGTGAAGGGCAGAGAGGAGGGAAACAGGATGTGGTAAGAAAGCTGCAAGGAAGAGTGCTTATTGCACATATTCATGGTGCAGCATCTTCTAAACCACCCGTCACAAAGTCTCCAGTGTTCAGATGAGTAGGCAAACTATTTTCAGCCAAAAATAGCTTTTCTCATTGTTCTTCGGAGTGTTATCAGTCATTACAGATTTTGAATCTATACCAAGCCAGCCCCAAATTCCTGCCTAAACACAATCTGGCCTGCCTTTGTACTTCTTGCCATTGTAAACAGTAGGGATTTGGGAAGTCTAAAATCTAGCTGTAAATATCTAAAAATCTCCTGACTAGTCTACAAAGAGTAGCTATGACCATCTGATTTGAGTCCCTGCTTGTATTTAGTCTTCATTGAATCCAATGTCTTACTTTTTGAGATACTGTAACAAACAGTAACACTAACTGCAGCAGTACTGAAGTGTTATCTGATACAGTGAAGACCTTCTGTAGCATCATACTGTGGAAAGGAGCATCTTTCTCAGTGGTGCCAGCTTTACTGCAAAAGACAAGCTTTGCACATTTTGGGACAGGTGTTCACATGTAAACTATAGCACACCCATGACTTTCCTAGGGCAAGTAACAAAGAACTATTACTGGGTGGCTTAAAACAACAGATTAATTCTTTCACAGTTCTGGAGGCTAGAAGTCTGAAATCAGTGTGTCAGTAGAGCCATCCCTCTTTGACGGCTCTAGGGAAAAATCTGTTCCATGCTTAGCTTCTGGTGTTGCTGGCAATCCTTTGGTGATCCTTGGCCTGTAGCTGCATCATTTCAGTTCTGCCTCTGCTATCACGTGGTGTTCTCTCTGTGTGTCTGGTCTCTTCGGTTCTTAGGATACCAGTCATACTGGCTTAGTGTTCACCCTAATTCATTATGGCCTCATGTTAACTTGATTACATTTGCAGAGATCTTATTTCTAAATAAAGTCATATCCACAGGTGTTGGGGGCCAAGACTTCAATGTACTTTGGAGGGAGAGCACAATTCAACCATGATAGCATACCATGCTTTAATCTTTGAATGTGTTCCTAAAATTCATTAAAATTCCTCTTTTTCCTGTCTAGTTTTGATTGCTTTTAAGTATCTTTTTTTATCGTTTACTTTACAGAGAAAATGGGCTGGTCTTTCCATTGGGCAAGAAATAGAAGGTAGGTATATTTTTTAGCCACCTGATAAAGATTTTCTGTATGATTTTCTCACAGTTGTTGAGATCTATACAATTTTCTATTCCTAGTGGTCAGACCTTAAACATTCATTGTGTTCAGAATACTGCTTAGATCTATGAAAATGGGAAGGAAATAGTTATGGTACCTCTGTTTCTATATCTTTTATGAAGTATGTGATAAAGTCATCATAGTTCAAGGCAAGGAAAGCAGTTTATAACTTCCACTGGGGGGAAAAAAAGACTAAGTTGCTTATAGGTAATAAGACAAAGAGCTAATAAGCAAAAACTGGCATTGTTTCTTAGCAATGTGGCAAAGTTGGGAAATGGATTATGAGTCTTCTTTAGTCAGATGATTTTATGTCAACTTCATGGTTACAGTAGGGGAAGGAAAGAAAAGGCAAGTTTAATTAAACCAGCTTTTTTTTCTGCTTGTCTTTAAAACTTAAACGAAATTGTATTTATAGAAAGGTTGCAAAATAATATGAAGAATTTCTATATACTGCCTTAACCCAGATTTACTAGTTGTCATATTTTCTTTATCATTCTGGCTCCCTGTCTTCCTCGCTGGGTGTCTCTCTTGTCTGTCCGTCTCTCTCTCTCTCTCTCTCTCTAGACACACACAGACACACACACACACACACACACACACCCCACTTGTGAAATTTAATGAGAAGATGGGGTAGTATGTAGCTTAGGTTTCTAATTTTCATAAATTAATTTTTCTAAACATAAGGCTAATAGTGTTAAAACTTTGAATCTAGATATTTTCTATTGTGACAAGATACAGAAATTCAAGATGATAAATTTTGATCAGTTGAGAAATGTGTTTTGTGGTTTAAATTATATTATAAAATCATTCTCCTGCTAACAGAAATGCCTATCTGGATTGTAAAGTCAGACCTTTAAAGAAGTGGTTCAGACAGACTTAATAAGCAAAATTGTAAAACCAAGTGGGACTAAGTGGAGTAAGGTTGAGGGAAGATCGGGTTTTGGGACTGAAGTGCTTTGGATGATGTGGCCATAAAGGTAGAAAACTGGTTTGATGTAAGTAGAGATGGAGATAAAGATAGGATAGGATATGTGGTTTGAAGGAGGAGTGCTCAAGTATTCTGGAATGGAAGTTTTGTTAAGGTGAGACGTTTCAGTCAAGTCAGTGATTTTAGTCTGAGGGAATCTTCTGGAGGAATCATTTTGTCTTCTTTCCATCTGACAGTGCCGTATTTTAAGTGTTACAGACGAATGTTTCCACCACTATATATACATACACCTATCATTGTAAAGTTCAGGTTTATTCAAATAATTGGAAACATTTATTTTTTGCTTATAAAATATCTTTATTATTAGCCTTTTATATTAAATTACTATGCCATAAAATAAGAAAACATTCTCAATTGTCTTTTATCCTGGATGAAATCTTCAGGACTTTGTCCCTTTGGGACTGACCATGGTGCTGACCTTGGTGCTGCCTGGGATACTGTCCATGGTGCTGCCCATAGCACTTGCAATTGTAACAGCTTGGTCTTTTCTATTTAGGAACCTTGGCCTTAAATTAAAATGCATTTGAAAACTACAGTCAGTACATTACTACAATCAGTATTAATTACATTTATTTATTTATTTATTTATTTTTGAGACAGAGTTTCACTCTGTCACCAGGCTGGAGTGCAGTGGCATGATCTCAGCTCACTGCAACCTCCTCCTCCCTGGTTCAAGTGATCCTCCTGCCTCAGCCTCCTTAGTAGCTGGGATTAGGGGCATGTCCCACTATGCCCAGCTAATTTTTGCATTTTTGGTAGAGATGGGGTTTTGCCGTATTGGCCAGGCTAGTCCCAGACTCCTGACCTCAAGTGATTCGCCCACCTCAGCCTCCCAAAGTGCTGGGATTACAGGCCTGAGCAGCCATGCCTGGCCAATATTTTAAATGTACTTATTCAGATCTCTCAATATGAAGATGATATACATATGTGTATATATACACATTTATATGCATTATGATATTGTTTTGGTGTCTTTAATGCACAAAATGGTATTATATTGTACAAAACTTTCTGCAATAGACTTTGGTCACTCAATATTATGTTTCCAAGGGCCATCCATCTTTTTTTTTTTTTTTTTTTTTTTGAGGCAGAGTTTCACTTCTTTTGCCCAGGCTGGAGTGAAATGTTGTGATCTTGGCTCACTGCAACCTCCGCCTCCCAGGTTCAAGCGATTCTCCTGCCTCAGCCTCCCAAGTAGCTGGGATTATAAGTGCTTGCCATCACGCCATCTAATATTTTGTATTTTTAGTAGAGACGGGGTTTTACTATGTTGGCCAGGCTGATCTCAAACTCCTGACCTCAGGTGATCTACCTGCCTCAGCCTCCCAAAGTGTTGGGATTACAGGCATGAGCCACTGTGCCTGGCCACACCATCCATCTTTATTAAATGTTTATCAAGTTGTGTTTTTTTGTTTGTTTGTTTTTGTTTTGAGGCAGGATCTTATTCTGTTGCACAGGCTGGAGTGCAGTGGTACGTGCAGTCATGGCTCCCTGCAGCCTCAATGCCTGGCTGATTTTTTTTATTTTGTGTAGAGACAGGGTCTCACTGTATTGCCAGGCTCTAACTCCTAGACTTAAGTGATCCTCCCTTCTTAGCCTCCCAAAGTGCTGGGATTACAGATGTGAGCCACCATGCCCGGCAAAGTTTTCATTTCAATAAAAATTGCTGTATAGTATTCTACATTATGAATATACTACGTTTTATTCATTGTCCCCCTATTGATAAGCATTTTTTATTGTTTAAGTACTGCAGATAATGCTGCAGTGAACCTCCCTATAGATGTGTTGTTAGACAAATGTTCTAGCATCTTTCTGGGACAGACACTTAGAAATTGAATTGCTGAATCAACGTATTCATTTTTACATTAAGATTTCAACCTGGCTGGGCATGGTGGTGCATACCGGTAATCCCAGCCACTCAGAAGGCTGAGGCAGGAGAATTACTTGAACCTGGGAGGCAGAGGTTGCAGTGAACTGAGATTGCGCCATTGCACTTCATTCTGGGCAACGGAGCAAGACTCCGTCTCAAAAGGAAAAAAAAAAGATTTCAGCCTATAAATATTTTCAGTACACAGGGAAAACAACTAAGCTTTCTTGCCTGTCAAAGTTACTCAGCATGTAACCTGTACTTTCTAGGAAATGTTAAGAAGAAGCAAGCCATCCAGAATTGGAGACAGGAGAGTATTCTGAAACTTTTAGCCAATATTTGAATTTATTATTTGATCTTCAATGCATTTTGTGTTCTTTTCTCAGGCTTTGTTATTTTGCTTTTGAAATAGTTAAAATATATATGTCTCCCTTTAAATGGCCAGCCAAAGTACAGAAATCTGATTATATAAGCAATTTCATTTAAAGAGTTTACAGAAAATTAGCTGGGTGCAGTGGCTCATGCCTGTAATCCCAGCACTTTGGAAGGCTGAGGCGGGCGGATCACTTGAGGTCAGGAGTTCGAGACCAGCCTGGCCAACATGGTGAAATCCTGTCTCTACTAAAAATACAAAAATTAGCCAGGCATGGTGGCATGTGCCTGTAATCCCAGCTACTCAGGAGGCTGAGGCACGAGAATCGCTTGAACCCAGGAGGTGGAGGTTGCCGTGAGCCAAGATTGTGCCACTGCACTCCAGCCTAGGCTGGAGTGAGACTCCATCTCAAAAATAAAATAAGAGTTTACAGAAAATCCTTGTACATAACTCAAGTGGCTAGAATATAAGAAATTAGTTTAGAATGGAATTTAGAGTATGAAATGATTATGAAGACTTACCTAGTTCAGTCTTCTTGATTTATAGATGTGACAAATCAAGGCACAGAGAACTTCAGTTATTTACTTCGATTCTTCTCATTGCTAGCAAAAGCTGTTGAAACACACAGACTCAAAGTCCCTTTGAAGAGAACAGCTTTGTTTGCAAACCACTCGAATCTTTGCAACAGGCATTTAATGCCAATCAACTGAAAGCTGTGCTGCAGTGACTTTTTTTTCCTTTCTTGCTGTTTGACCCCAGTAACTCACAAAAGTGCCATGACTGTTGTTCAAAGCAATGATCTTTTGTTTGAAAACAATGTTTTTTTATTACCTGCTTTTGTGGTGAGAACTTTAGAAGCTTACTTACCCGGTGTGACTTGGATTGGTAGTTAAGTGAAAAGTTGGTTAAAGGCTTTTTCTTGGAGGTTTGTTCCATGGACTGGAGTTCTGGAAGATAACTGTGTTATCTTTTGTGCATACACTTCACCCATCATTTCCAGCTGGATTTCTTTGAAATGGCTGGAGAACTTAGACCTTGTAAAGCAACTGAGGGTGCAGAAACCTCTTGGATTTTTATAGAGTTCACTGTCAATGTTTTCTAATTTTAATGCTGATACCTAGTTTGCAGTATTTTTTTTTCCAGAAGAAACTCTTCATTTAAAAAATTCTCCCAAAGCTTTCAACTGACGGGTGTATATTAGAGGAATAAAAGTTGGTCAGCTCTTTGATGAGTCAGCTCATTGGAGGTTGCTTAAGAGAGCTGCTGCTATCCTTAAGGGGCCATTGGCAAAGGTTAGGACGGTTATCTTCAGGGAACCTAAAAGGAAAATAATAGTAGGGGAAGAGAGAGAGAGAGAGAGAGAGAGAGAGAGAGAGAGAGAGAGAGAGAGAGAGAGAGAGAGAGAGAGAGGAGAGAGAGAGAGAGTGTGTATGTGTGTGTGTGTGTGTGTGTGTGTGTCTGTGTCTGTGTGTGTCTATTAAGCCTTGTTGAAGAGTAGCGATAGACTCTTTCTTACTGGGCATAATCAAGTTGCCCTCTTGGGGAAACTCAAATGCAAAAATCCTCTTGAACTTTTCTGTGTGGCTTACTCTACTCTTTCCTAATAGTAGCAATACCGTATACAGCCTCATAATATTTGTCGCTTTAAAAGTTTGTAAACTGGCATTTATAAGTAAACTTTTTGAGCTGATTTAAGAATCAAGTTTTATTCCTAGGGAAATGCTTCTTTGTAATTCTGTCACTAGCAAAATTTGTTTTAACACCTATTTTTCTTAAAACAGCACAAACGGTGTTGTAGTTGTACAATTAAAGGTTTTTGGTTGAACAGTTATTACATGATATAAATATGTGTAACACTTCAATATTCAAATGTATTCCATTGTAGCCTAAAAGTCATGTTAGAACTTTTTATGTGACTTGAACAGGAATTTTCTTAGCCAAGGCTTTGTATGTGTACTTTATTGCCTCCTTTGTTACTGGCAGGGAAACCATGGGTTTTTGTTACTGTTTCGTTTAAACAGTTCATGAATATATTAAGCACCTAAAAGAAACTGTTAGATGTTGTTACTCTGAAGAGGAGTTAAAAACCTGGTCCTTGCATTTATCTACATGCTGTACATGTAGAACTTACTGTCCTTCCCTAGATGTAGCAGGTGCTCAGAAACATTTTTGTAGTAATAAAAAAGAAATGTCACACTCTGACTTACTCTGGAGCAGATTCCCCTAGTAAACATTGTTTTTCAAGCTTTTTTTTCCCCCTGCATCCTACTTTCTTAGGCCAAAAGAATTCATCTATCCCACCTTAGCTATTTTTTTGTGTCAAACAAAAATCTTATTTGGAAATAGCATGTTATGCCAGCTGCATTGGGACATTCCATATTGTACTGCTTTAAATGAGGAGGAAGATACAGAGGCCATGTGGGGAGGACTGTGATCCTGTTGAGAGTGGGATGAGGGATAACAACAGGAGACTGCTGTTCAATTTCTAATTAATTCAGCTGGGGAAGAAAATTTCTAGTGGTTATTATTATTTTTTAAACCTGTACCTATGTGTCCCTCCAGTGAAGGCTGTTTAAACCCCGTTTTTGGCGAAGTAGTTTTATTATGATTCATTAATGTGAAACTTTTAGTTACTAGAAACACAACAGGTATTTGGTACTCCTGTGATTTTTTAAAAAATGCTTCTTTTTACCCCTAGTCTCCTTATATACATTTGACAAAGCCAAACAGTGTATTGGCACAATGACCATCGAGATTGATTTCCTGCAGAAAAAAAGCATTGACTCCAACCCTTATGACACCGACAAGATGGCAGCAGAATTTATTCAGCAGTTCAACAACCAGGCCTTCTCAGTGGGACAACAGGTAGTTTTAAATTTTCTTTCATTCCTTTAGCTTTATAGGTATTTTAATTTCTGCAGTTGTCCAAAATTAATTCCACCTTTTAAAAAATAGGAGATGTTTTGCATACCAACTGGTATATCCAAGGTGAGTGATTAAAAAGTGAGGGAGGGCCAGCCACAGTGGCTCACACCTGTAATCCCAGCACTTTGGGAGGCTGAGGAGGGTAGATCACAAGGTCAGGAGATGAAGACCATCCTGGCCAACATGGTGAAACCCCACCTCTGTTAAAACACACAAAATAATTAGCCAGGTATGGTGGCACATGCCTGTAGTCCCAGCTGCTTGGGAGGCTGAGGCAGGGGAATTGCTTGAATTTGGGAGGCAGAGGTTGCAGTGAGCTGAGATCGTGCCACTGCACTCCAGCCTGGCAACAGAGTGAGACATCATCTCAAAAAAAAGAAGTGAGGAAGATGTATTTACTGAACTCAAGGAGTCTGTTCAGAAAAATTCTAAAGTAGCTTTTAGATTAAAATGTCATATATAATTACAGCAGCTTTTCCCTCAGCAAATTTGGGAACACTGCAGACATATATATATCTGAAATTTCTTTTCACTCTGTCTCTTTCGCTAATATAGATCTGTAGAAAAAGTAGGTTTTTTTTTTTTTTTTGAGATGGAGTTTCGCTCTTGTTGCCCAGACTGGAGTACAATGGCACAGTCTTGGCTCACTGCAACCTCCACCTCCCAAGTTCAAGCAATTCTCCTGCCTCAGCCTCCTGAGTAGCTAGGATTACAGGCATGCGCCACCACACCCCACTAATTTTGTGTTTTTAGTAGAGACGGGTTTCTCCATGTTGGTCAGGCTGGTTTTGAACTCCCAGGTTGCTCTGGTGATTTGCCTGCCTCAGCCTCCCAAAGTTCTGGGATTATAGACGTGAGCCACTGCGCCTGACCGAGAAAAAGTAGCTCTTGACGAGGCATGGTGGCTCACACCTATAATCCCAGCACTTTGGGAGACCAAGGTGGGAGGATCGCTTGAGACCAGGAGCTCAAGACCAGCTTGGGCAACTTGGTGAGACCCTGTCTCTAAAAAAAAAAAAATTTTTTTTTTTTTGCCCACAATGAACATAGTATCTACAAAAAAAAAAAAAAAAAACAGCTGGGCATAGCCCCAACTACTCAAGAGGCTGAGATGGGAGGATTGCTTGAGCTTGGGAGGTTGAGGTTGCGGTGAGTCATGATTGCGGCACAGCACTCCAACCTGAGTGACAGATCGAGACCCTGTCTCAAAAAAAAAAAAAAGTTCTTAACTTTTTTTGGTAATGGACTTATTTCAGAACCTAAAAAAAAACTGAATTTCTGCTAGTCAGGAAAAGGATATAGTGCATTATTTTAAAAAGAGTACTAGAATTGGAATGAACCTCAAGAGATTAAGCTGTCTAACTTCACATTTACAAATGAGGAATTTTGTTTTTTTTAATTTTATTTATTTTTTGATAAATTTTATTTTGTCTTATTCTGTTGCCCAGGCTGGAGTGCAGTGGCATGATCTCAGCCCACTGCAACCTCTGCTTCCTGGGTTCAAGCCATTCTCCTGCCTCTGCCTCCCAAGTAGCTGGGATAACAGGTGGCCATCACCACACCCGGCTAATTTTTTGTGTGTTTTTAGTAGAGGCGGGGTTTTGACATGTTGACCAGGCTGGTTTCTAACTCCTGGCCCCAGCCTCCCAAAGTGTTGAGATTACAGGTGTGAGCCACCATGCCTGGCCAAATGAGGAATTTAAGATCTAGAGAAGTAAGTGGTTTGCCCATGGCTACACAGTTAGGAACATAGCTGAGCTAAGAATTAAACACATATTTGATAGTACCTAGTATGCACCAGCCACTGTTTTAGACACTGCAGATCCATAGTGAACAAAATAGATATGATCCCTGCAGTCATAAAACTTTCTAGTTGAGGAAAACAGAAAATAAGACAGGAATACCATGCATACATAGTTAAACCTCTGACGAAAGGAGATCAGGACACTTCAACAGAGAGCCACTGCAGGGCTGTTGTGTACTGGATGACTAAAATTGCGCTCAGATTACCTAGCTAAACCTGATGGCTTTTACCGTTAGTATCCTAATAGAAAATATTTAGAATGTTTAATAGGAAATGTTTTGGTATTTATAATAATTTAAAACCCAGTAGATGTAGAAGTAAGTAAATCCATGAAAGAGAATCTTTCATAATACAGCGAAGCAGTAAATATCTTACTCCAGATCACTGTCCTTACTGCTTCTTCCCATTGGTGGTATTTCGTAGTAGCAGAATTGATGGACAGGCCAACCTGTTATATTTACCATTATAGGCCAGCACATAGAAGAAGACCAAATTTTTAGAAGGCACTCAGTAAATATTTGGTGAATGAGCAATTGAGCATTCAAAAGCTGTCTCTGCACTTTTGTCCTGGTGATAGAAAAGCATGAATTGTAGAGCCACAGACCCAGGTTTGACTCTTGGCGCTCTCATCTACTGTGACTCTGAGTCTTGTTGTGTAGCCTTTTTCTGCATCTCAGCTTCCTCACTAGTAAAATGGAATAGTAGTTTCTGCTTCCAAGAGTGTTTGTGAATATTATACAACTGTCTGTAATGTTTGAATAAAATACCAAGATACTTTATTCTGTTAGAAATAGTAAATGTGTTACTCTTGAATTACTTTAGGTGACACTCTCACAATTAAATTAGATAATTTGTATTCATGTGAAAAACATTTTAAACATGAGTTTTGCAGTCATTTTGTAGACACTGGAATTGTAAGTGCTAATTCCATTTTCCTGTCATTGGCTATGAGTAGTTTGCTTGAGGAGCAGATTGGAGAGGTATATATAAGAGAAAACTGGTTTTCTCCATTTGAAAAACACTGGTGATGATCTGAGAATCAAACCATTATATTATGAAGTGATTTTTCTCCCCTTGCCTCTTTTCTACATAGCTTGTGTTTAGCTTCAATGAAAAGCTTTTTGGCCTACTGGTGAAGGATATTGAAGCCATGGATCCTAGCATCCTGAAGGGAGAGCCTGCGACAGGGAAAAGGCAGAAGGTATGTTTTATTTCTAATCATCTTTACTAGATCATCTTTATAATGTAATTTGTGCAGATTGATTATAATTTTTCTATCTGTTGAGTGACTTTTTTCAAAGTATGTGCTCTTTTAAGAGAGTAGGAGTAGGGAGAACAAATTGCTTTCATAGCCAGCATTGTTATTAAAATGGCTTAAAATGTACTTACTTGCAGACCTAATAGTAATGTAAAATGTAGGCATATATGTACATATAATTTGCTTGAATGAAGATATTTCTTGTGAATAAGTAATAAGAAACTCATTATTGGAAAGATACAGGCATGGAAAGAAGGCATATAGGAACTATAGAAGAAAGTTATGAGAAAAGTAAAAGTAGTGCAGATGATAGTCTGAAGGTTTGCTTTGCACAGAGAGAGCTCATTTCCCCTTCACTTTTGGCCTTGCTTTGACAAGTCCAGAAGTTTGCTATTACACTACTAATTATTGTCTTTCCATACAGATTGAAGTAGGACTGGTTGTTGGAAACAGTCAAGTTGCATTTGAAAAAGCAGAAAATTCATCACTTAATCTTATTGGTAAGATTTACAGTTTTTAGAAAATTCGAAATGAAGTAGGCCTATTTCTATTATATGTAACTCAACTACAGTGATTTCCAAATAGGGAAAGGAAAGAAGGGCATCTCTCTTGAGAGAGTTTATCACGGAAGCATGGGGTATTTCCTGTTTGTCAGGTTTGCTGATGAAAAAGTTTAAAACCTATATTTGGATCAACTTTGTCCAATAGAAATAGAATGTGAGCCACATGTATAATTTTTAATTTCCTAGAAACCACACTAAAAGAAGAAACAAATTTTTTAACTTTTAATTCTGAGATCATTGTAGGCTTACACAGGATGTGCAGAAATAGCTCAGAGAATTTCTGTATGCCCATTACCAGCTTAACCTGATGTTGATGTCTCATCTGACATTATCAAAAGTACAATGATCAAAACTAAGAAATTAACGTGATTTCATTTCTGCTAACTAAACTACAGATTTCATTCAGATTTCACCAGTTTTTCCATTGTGTTCTTTTCTGTTCCAGGATCTGATTCAGGATCCCAGACTGCATTTAGTGGTGCCGTCTTTTTAGTTTTCTTCAGTCACTGACAGTTCCTCAGACTTTGTCTTTCATGACTCTGACAACTGGTCACTCATTTTGTAAAATGCTACTCACTTGCTTTTGTGTTGAATGAGATAGCATCATCATTTCTTTTAAAGATTCAGTGATGAATGTACAAGTAAAGTCTTTCCAGCAGATTCATGATTTAGTCCTACTCTTGTACTTTAGCCCAACTTTTGTCGTATTTAAACAATGCAGCTTGTCTGAGAATAGTAACTCACCAGAATAATGGTGCCATTAACTGGGCGGTAATTCTTATTTTTGGTTGATGTAACTGTGTTGATTTCTACCCCACTAGGGAGTAGAGGCTTCTCATTGGTTGCACTTCATCATGTCCAGGATCACTTAGCAGTCTTTGAGTGCACGGCCTTTATTTCCTGGCCCACGCATTACCATTCCCCCTTATTAGTTTTTGCTAATCATAAAATATTTTATTTATAAAACACGGATGGGCACTCGAAAACAACTCACACACCATAAAATTTGGTTCTGTTTTCAGTTTTGTAATTTGCTTTTTTTGCTTAGCATGTTTCAAACACCTTAAATACACACCTATAACATGATTTTTAATGCCTATATGTCAGCTTATGGATGTAGAATATATTTTTCTATTATTGATCTAGTACATTTGTGAAGTTATTTCTTTGTATTTTATTTTTGTGTACATTTGTTAAGATATCCCAAGGGAGTTGCACAACTTTCATACAATAGGGTATTTCCACATAATCCATGGAAAAAAAATTGTGTAGTTAATTGGTATGCAGTAAATTTTGCCCACAAGAGGGCAGTAGAGTATAAGAAAAATATGTTTGCTCCCTTTCTAAAGGAAATCTTAAGGCCTTAAAGCTCTAACCATAAAATTATCATCTAGTATAAACTTTTTTTAAAGTGTTACTTTATTTCTAATTGACAGTAATAATTGTATATATTTATAGGGTACAATTTGATGTTTTAATACATATATACATTGTAGAATGGTCATATCAGGCTAATTAACATATCACCTCAAAAATCACGCATTTTTTAGGGTAAACATTTTTTAATGTGACATTTTCTTCCCTGGTTTTATAAAAACTATATTATTATTTTATTTTTTATTTATAATAAAACGTGCTAAGGTACTTAATTTATTCTTTGTTTGAAATAGTAAATGTGGTTCTCTTGAGTTACTTTAGGTGGCACTCTGACATTTAAGTTAGATAATTTTTGTCCTTGTGAGAAAATTTTTAAACATAAATTTTGTAATCATTGAATTCTTTAGGGTGATTTCAGACTTTTGTGGGCAATGAAGAGAAAGCAAAGACATCAAACTTAGTGCATCTCCTTAGGCTGAGGGGTTATATGCCCAATTACCAGTATAAGTGTAATCTGCATAAATATATGTATTTTAAAATACACTTTTGTTAGGAGCCTTCAGCGACTGAGATTTCAGTTGCATTCCTCCCAGCTAGTGTTGTCTTCATCAGATATGCACACGGTGTTTCTTCTGATCAGCTTTAATTAGTTTGGGTAAAGATTAATGACACCAAGTTTTATGGACTGATTACAGATAGACTACAGCATGTTTAACTAGTCATTTTGGCAGCATATCACCATAAATGGAGGTCAAAGTAGACAGCATAGCAAAACTTATCCTTCTTACTGTAAAATCAGCTAAGATTGTAGTGTTCATTTTTGTATATGTAAGGGTAGCTTCTTTTTATTCATTTAAGATGCTCAGGGAGTTCTGTCTTTTTAGACTTAATGATAAATTTAGTCCTTGTTTCACATTTGGTTATATTTGTTTGACCTAGGCAAAGCTAAAACCAAGGAAAATCGCCAATCAATTATCAATCCTGACTGGAACTTTGAAAAAATGGGAATAGGAGGTCTAGACAAGGAATTTTCAGATATTTTCCGACGAGCATTTGCTTCCCGAGTATTTCCTCCAGAGATTGTGGAGCAGATGGGTAAGTTTAAAAAGGAAAATGTTATAAAGTCTTGTATTGTTAAAAAAATTAATGCAATGAAGATTCTCTTTTCAATCGTTTTGAAACTGTTTTTCAAACCCATTAAAATATTTTTGTCTTAAATTTTTATTTAAAAATGAACAGATAAGTTTTCTGAAAAACTTTCGTAATACTAGAACTTTTAAAATTACATTTTAATTTTATGGGGAAATCATAGAAATAAGACTTGTGGTGGCTCCATTTTGTTTATTTATTTATTGAAGAATGCTTTCCTATGGGGCATATTTAGAAATTTCACCTGACAGTAATAATATGTGTAGTGGCTCCATTTTATTTATTTATTTATGTAAGAATGTTTTTCTATAGGGCATATTTAGAAAGTCCACCTGACTCTAAAGATCACTATGGGTCAGATTTACCCTGCTGAATAATAATTATCTCTTAGACTGTCTGCATGGTTCTGATGTTAGCTGCTATTCCTTTCTACTGTGCTGGTGCATTACCTGGTTAGTACATCTTCACACCTAATAAATGGATACTTGGCATGTTTTTAAATTAAATAAGTTGGATCCAAAAAGACAAATGCAGGATATACATTGGAGTTTCTGTATTGCATGCAAAGAAGTGCACAACTCGTTTATCACTTTCTTCTTGAAGGTTTAATTTATCTGTGTGAAGTGACTTTATTTGCCCAGTGAAAATGCTGTCATGACTGTTTTCACATCCATATGATCGTTCCATTGGAATGTGAGTGACAGAATATCTGAGAAAGGAATGTGTAACATAACAGTGTCTGGCAGGCTATTAGTGTAAAAAGAGTATCCAAAAAAATGGAAGGAATATGAATATATTACTCCCCTCATCCCCATCATGCTTTATCTTTAAATTGCCACTGGAAGATAAAAGTATATTTATTATGGTGGGGATAAGAGCTGCTTTCTAGGCACTAAGTGCTTGGACTGTATTAGCCTTCTATTGTTGGTAGCCTTTCTGCCTGGTTGCTTACTCTGATAAGTTACAGGCACGGCACACACCTGTTCACTGGGTAAAGGTCGAGTTTGGAATTGTATTAAGAGAAAATGACAGAGACCCTCATCACCTGAGTTTTATACAGCTTGAAATGGCAATAACATACTTTTTATCTCAAACATACAAAGGCCACGTCCATTAAAAGCAGAATTTTAATTTGGAAAATATTTTTAAATGTGGTAGTTCACTATCTTGGTAATGTGTATTCTCTATCAAGACATGAAAATATTGTTTAAGTGTATTTTGGGTAAAAGCAGAGATAAAAAGATGATTCCAAATGTTCTAAGTTTTTCTTGTGGAGTGTTTTTACTAGTTTTTAGGACTGAGGTCTAGTGCAGGAAGAGTCTAATGATTCTGTTTCTTTGAACATTTATACTGTTTAGCCAACAAGTAGAAAAATAACTGCTTTGGTAGTAAGCCATCTCTTTTCATTATAAATGTTTTCTCACTGTTTGGAAGCTATTGAAGATACAGTTATTCAGATACTAGTTTGCTCTTTGTACATTATCTAGATCCTGCACTTGAGGCTATGAGCAACGTCAGTATGCATTGGGTAGAGACTGCGTAAAGAAGTTGGACTCACATTGGTCAATTTGTGACCTTGCCAGCTGTCGGAGAGTTTTAAACTAAATCAGAACAGATTGGAATTTGTTAGTGAATTTCATCTGTTTCTGATATCTGTACTGAAATGAGTTCAATTGCAGTAGTGTGCTTTTTGACTAAGCACTTTGGATTTGAATTTGTGACTGCCACTGTCCAGAACCTTTTTTATGGATTTATTTTTCTAATATTTGTACAGTAATTTAGAAAAAAAAATGAGTTCTATCCTTTTAGAAAAGTCAATATTTTTTTCTCTTTATGGCTTTTTGCCATCAGGAAGCATGTATTATTAATTTCATTGAAAAGAAAACTAGTATAAAGCTACCTGGCTTTTGAGCTGAATTGAAAAACTTAGTTTCTTTATTCTCAATGAATCTTCCAAATATCTAAAAAAAAGTAAATCTCCCTGTTTTTTTTAAATGGGTAAATGGCTGAGAAATAATTCTCTTGTAATGTGTGTGTCATTCCCCATCATCTAATAGAGAGTTCTTTTTTCCTTTGAATTTTGGGGGAATTATATAGTAAGATACTTTATTGCACTCCAGTTACAGTGTGGTTATAAAGTTCTCATTAGGCTTTGGTAAAGTTATATAAATAAAAACAGCTACATTTTGACAGAATATAAATAAAGTTATACCAAGTTCTTTTTTACGCATATTCTTTTTTTTTTTTAACATGTCAGGTGGAAACAAAATGGATTTTTTTGTCTCACTCTTTGCTAACTAAAGAGGCAGATCTGTATGGTCCGGAGATTCAACTGGACACTGAGTATGACTAGTTAAATCAATTCTAATTTTAAAAAAGATTAGAAAAGAATCATTTAGGTTATGGGGCTTTTTTGTTTGAAGCAGAAAACTTTACTTTTGGCTTGAGACCAAATTATTGTGTTTACCATAGAGTCTAGAGTTACGTCTACTTTGTAAACAGGAATCTTACTAAGTGGATTTTTTGCCTGTATATCAGTTTTCAAATTTACAAAGTAATAAATTTAGAATATTCTTCTCTTCTGTCATTGTGTTCGTCAGACTGATAATTATGCTTCTAGGAAAGAGTTCTTTTGTTAATAAAATTTCATGTTGTCTTTTCAAAATTGAAAATTAGTTTAGCTACATACATAATGTTGCCGATGAGTTACAGGAGGACGAATGGACTTAACCAGAAGCACACAATTATGCAGTAAAATTAGGGATTCAATGAGGTACTATACATGAAAATAACTGTATTGGAGTTTCCAATCTGTTAGTTTATCTCTTGAAGTGCTTTCAAGTACATAGAGTATACCTTTCTGCTTTTGTTATACTTTGTAGAATTAACATCAAGGAAACCCTTAAAGGAGAAAGGAAGTCACATAAAGCTCTCTAGAACTGAGGGATAAAGGAAAAGGGATTATTTAGGGGAATATAAATTCAGACTTTTGTTTTTGTTATTGTTTAATCAGAGTAACTACTGAGTTTTTCCCTTATCTGAAGCAGTTGAGCTCACCCAAACCCAAGTGTGGCAGCTCTTCCTTGGAAGTGTATGAGAGCAACCAGCAAAGGAAACTAAACCTATAACTGCGCTTAGTAAATACCAAATAGGTATTTAGTTAGAATGCCCTCCAACCCCTACAAGATAGATTTTTAATTAACAATTACCTTAAATCCATACTTTGTGGACTAAGAGGAGCCACATTTGAGTCCCAGGGTAGAAATGTGAACATCAAAGCTGCTATCTGGATGTATGGGTAAATCAGTTCATCAGCTGATCGCTGTCTCAGCATATTCAGGTGTTAACTGAATAGATACTAAATACTGTGTTCAGACATTTACCACACATATTCCCCTGCATGCAGTTTTGTGGAGAGTGTTCAGGATAAATAAATGATTAATTACCTCAGTTCTCACTGTGGCTCTTCTGTTGGCAAAGATAGCATTTCTGCAAAGAAACTTCATTTTTCAGCCTCCCTGGCAATTCTCTCTAAATTATAAATGTCAAAGAAAAAAAATTCTTTTCAATGAACAGTGGAATAATTGTCAAAGAATTAGTCAGCTTCTTTTAATGTAATCCTGGGAATAGGTTCACATCTACCCAAGGAAAGACCTAGAAGGAAAAGGGTGTAGAGGGAAGGCCTCAGCCTCACGCTGTCTTTCATTGGATTTATGGGGTGTAGATGTTCAGGCCACCTAGTGGGGAGGAAAGCCACTTGTTATGGTCTTGTGCCCCCATTCTTTGAAACTGACACTGTGTTCTTTTTGGTCTCCTTTCCCCAGTGTCTCCCTCTGTAAGCCCATTTTCAATTGTATTTTTAAGGTTTCTTTTGAAATTCAAGAGGAAAGCAACTCTTTTCTGATATCATAAGTGAAATTGCAGTTATTCTATGAAATAGAACTGCTGAGAAGATAAGGAACCTTTCAGTCACACAGACATCTTTCACATGCTAAAAACAGTGCAAATAAAACAGTGGAAGAAAGGGCACTAAGGTTTTTGTGCATGCCATATTTGGGAGAGAAGGAGTTCTTGCTAAGATTAACATAAACACTGACACTCTTAAAATGCATTTTCACACCCCCACTCATGAGGAGAGATTGCATTTTAAATGGGGGTTAAGACATCTAGCCAAACTCCAGGGCTCTGTAAAAGGAACCCTAAGGCTAAAGAGCTTATCTGAAATTTGAAAAAAAGAAAAAAAAAAAATGAAGCTTTCTGACATTCATCTTTTTTCCTTGTATTAGTCATAACTTGCTTTTCAGCTATATTTTAGGTTTTGAATGCCAACCTGACATCTGTTCAAGTCTGCCTGTAATTTATTAGCAGAGGAAAAGACAGCAGTTGCTCACTAGTTAGAGATGCAAAACTTCTCCCTTCCTATTTTCCACTTAGTACTGATAGATGATACCTGGATATGAGGAATTAATAATGTACTAAAAACTTCAGGTCAGGAAGTTTATAAAGTTTTTTTTTTTTAATTAGAAGAAGAAAATGACTTAAGACCATATGATTTCCAAAATCTCTCGAGCAGGATTTAGAGACAAAGCATAGACCGTAAAACATACTTTTGATAACTTACTATAAATTGAAGTGTTTTTTTTTACCTTTAATTAATGTTTACATTGGTTTTAAATTTCTGAGTGAAATGTATATTTGAACAGAAAAAAGTAGTTGTGCTTATATCTGAAAGTCAAGTTGTACGTAAATTCACCTGGCATTTTGCATTTGTAGACAGACTTTAAGAAGTAAATCTTTTGGAGAGGCAGTGCTCTCTACCGAGTCACCAAATGGATTATTAGATTTCCTGGCAACTATAGTTGAGTTACTTACAGGTCAACAGTTGGGTCACTACAAAGTTGAGGTCTAAGTGTTAACCTGAGTGCCCACCAGTAAGAAACTGGTTA